TTTACAGGATTTTGTGGCTGGGTTGTAAGCATTGTACCGCTTAATTATTTTCCATTTGACAACTGGGTTTAAGTTGTCATCTTTTAATTTCTAAAATTCTTTTGATAATTCGGTGTCATTTTTGTATTTTAGAATGTTAAATGATTTTGTATGGTTGGCATATCTAATTTTGAATGGTGTTTCACTTATACTGATGTAGGATTTGTTGACAGGAGTGTTAGTAGGATTATTGGAACTTATATTGGCTTGGTATACAATGTTTTATGTTAAGCATTGGTTTGATAAAGGGCAGGTATTTTTATTAAGGCAATTGCAGTTGGTTTTAGGTGGAATTTTGTTGTTGTTCATAATTTGTTGATTGTGTGCATTTAAAAAAGATTTCATATTTGACATACAGCTATAACTTATTTTTCTGTTAAAAATTTTGTGGAGTCTGTGATTTTTTGGGAAGTGTTTGTTTATTAAGGTTAAAAAGCTTTTTTCTACATTAGTGCTAACATTTTTGTTGAAAGGAGGGTTGAACCATATGATGTTTCGTTTACGATTTTTGGTATGTGGTAAATTTAAATTAGGGTGATATAAAAGTTTGTGATTAAAACCGGATCTTAATAGTGCGTCATTGTACAAAATCTTCGGAAGATTTTTTTGCTCGACAAATTTGCAGACAGTCTTAACTCAATTGAATGCAGAAGCTGTTTTAAAATATTAGACGGGTGCTTTGAATCTTGCATGAATATAGTTTATAGAATTCCCAGGCTTAGAATATGGTTGAAAAGTATTGTCGTTGAGATTTAATGTGACGTCAAGATAATTTATAATTTTTATGTTGCACTATATTGATATAGTGAGTTGAATTCCTTCTTGCCCTATTTGACACGGATGATTGAGCAATTTTCAGATCAGAACTCATTCCATTGCTTTGTTATGGTTTTTTTCTGTTAATTTTTGTATTTTATTTTTTTTAACGGTTTTTTCCTAATTTAAAGAATAAAATATGGCTGATGATTACCAAAGGGCATGAAACTTTAAGTTCCATCACAAAGTTGTATTTTTTCAAATAATCAAACTCTTTATATAATATGTATATGTATATATATATGTATATATATATGTATATATATATGTATATATATATATATATCTATATATATATATATATATATATATATATATATATATATATATATATATATATATATATATATATATATATATATATATATATATATATATATATATATATATATATATATATATATATATATATATATATATATATATATATATATATATATAGAGAGAGAGAGAGAGAGAGAGAGAGAGAGAGAGAGAGAGAGAGAGAGAGAGAGAGAGAGAGAGAGAGAGAGAGAAAGAGAGAGAGAGAATATATATACATATATAAAATAATAATAATAACTAATTTTTTTTTTCATTATTTTAATTTTTATTTTATAACATTTACTAAACTTTGTAAATAAAAAAAATATTTTATGATATAAAAGTATTACTTTCATAAAATCATTGCTTTTTTTTAATGAAAACTCTCTACAAAGTTTTACGGTAAATAGCTAATGCTCCAACTAACATGTTGAAATAATGTTACACTGAAATAACGCAGGTGTTCAGATTAAAAGTGGAGTTTTTATTAAAAAAGGAGGTTTGTTAATATTAAAGTAATTTTAGATGTTTAATATTTTTAAACACTTTTAAACACTAAATTTTTTATATAATATAATTAAAGTTATAATTATAATAAAATTTTATAAAATTGTAAATTAAATATAAGGAAATTTTGATTTAAAAAGATTTTTGTAATTTATTACCCTCTAATGCTTTAAAACACTTGAAGCCATTTTTAAAATATACTAGTGCTAATCGTTTTCTCAATTACTCAATAAAAAATGCACTTATGATATAGTTATAACTTATGATATAGTTATAACTTATGATTAAACTATAGTTATTTAAATTGCTAAATAGGTTAATAGCATTCTTTCATTGCAATAACTTCACAAATGATGGCAGGTTAATAGCATTCTTTCATTGCAATAACTTCACAAATGATGGCAAAATTTCAAAAAAATTTAATAAAAAAAAGTTTAATAAAAAAATTGAATGAAAAAAAAAAAAAAAATTTCAAAGAAGAATGTTTTTAATTAACAACAAAAAATAATAATAAAATAAAATAAAAACTTTAATCAAGTATATAAAAAGCAACCAATAATTTTACAGTGAAGTAAAACTAAAGTTGTGTAAAAAATAAAGATGTAGCTTACATCATATAAAATGCTTGTCAAGGAAGTGAATTAAAAGTAGCTTATTATAAATAAAAAAAATTTAAACAATTTTTCAAAATTTTCAGTCTAACATGTTTTATATATCATAAACAAATATTATTGTCGAAAAACATCTAGGTTGATTGTAAATGCCTATTTTTTAAAACTAAACTTATTTTACCTCATTTGAAAAAAATAACTTTTGATTGAAATTTTTTATACAGGTAGTTGGAGTGAATGGTTAAACGGTACATGTTCCCAATCTTGTGGTGATGGAATTATGAATCGTAGTCGAGTTTGTCCAAATGGTGCTCAATGTCTTGATAATAATGAATATAAAACATATCAAACTCAAAATGGTGTTTACTGTAAATTAAAGACATGTGGTAATTTATTCTTCTATAACTAATGTAAATTATTATAACAATTTATTTAAGTATCCGAAAGAACTTTGATGTTTAGGATTACCAAAAATGATTTAAGACTTCAAGATAACTAAGGTACCATAAGCTTTAAAAGTCCTGTTACTTTTAAGTTAAAGGTCCTTTTTTACTTTTATTTTAACATAGTTCATAAGTCTTCTATTTTGAAGCACACTTAAAACTAATAGTGATTAAAAACTTTTTTTGAAGTTTCTATCTGTGTTTTTTATTTAGAAAAATATTTATATATAAAAAAAAAAAAGGTAAAAAAATTAAATAATAAACATAGCTACCCTGCATTTGTTGTATGAATGCATGCAAAATATTCAGGAGAAGCATAACATGCAAGATATTTAGGAGATTTATACAGAATATTTAGGAGATGCATACAAGATATTTAGGAACATTATCAAATAGATTTAAGACTTTGAGTGATGTGCATCATCAATTTTGATTGTTTAGCATAATAGATGTAATCTAAAATTTACATATAAAATTGATGTAACTTAAAAAAGTTAAATATTTGAAGTACTGCATCAGAAACAATACAATGTATTAGGGAGAATAAATAAAATCTTCTTTAAATACTTTTGTCAGAGTTTTCATATTCTTTATTAAAAGTTATTTATTTTGGATTGTGGATTTTTTAGTCATTAAGTCTGCTATTGTCTACAAGTTTTTTTATTACTGTAAGGTTTCAGTTTTTGTCTTTAATTGAATATATATTATTAACTTTGCATAATTATTGGTATTTTGTAAAAAATTAAAAAATAAATGTTTTTACAATAATACATTTAGATAACAATAAGACATTTTTATAGGATATAAATTGTATAAGTTTAAGTAATTTTTTTTTTAATTTAGATTGTAATGGTGGTTGCACTGGTAATTTTACAATTTGTGTAAATAATATATGTATATGTCAACAAAATTACTTTTTGAATAATGGAAAATGCACTGGTTAGTATAATATTTAATTAATAGTTAATTTTTTTTATCTCTAAATATAAAATATTTTATATATAATATGTTGCACAATTTGTTGTTCCTGAACATTTTCTGTAGCTCTTATTGATATAAAGTTACTGATATTTTTTATATAGTTGATATTTTTTATAGTTAAGGTTTTACATTGTTCCTGGTTATTCATTTTGCTTCAGGCATTTTGGTATTTTGTGTAGTTCTCTATATTTTTTGCGGTTCTCGATGTTTCTGTAGTTCCTGATATTTAATAAAGCTAATATTTTACAATATAGTTTTTGATAATTCATCTGGTTCTTGATAATTTCAGCCCTCAAAATTAAGAAAAAGAAGAAGCGGTTGGCAATAATTTGCCAACTTTAATCTGTTAAACGCTGGCATCAGATTGCCAAAAAAAGTTTGATACAAAGGGGTTACCATAAAACATAGAAACGAGGTAGGCAATTTTTTGCTGATCTCAAACACCTCTTGGTTGACAGTTAGGTTGGCATTGCCGAATGCTGACCCTAATTTCAAGGGCTATATTTGATATATTGTTTCTGATACTTCATATTTGTATTGGTTTCTGGTATTTTATAGAAGGCTTAATGTTTAAGGTCAGGATTAAAATCACTATACTGCAACTAACATCCAATCCAGTACATCTTGCTCCATATTCTGCTGTGTTATAAGACCTGCTTTTTTAAACAAAGATTAGGACAAGTTTTTGTCTTTTGTTCCTTGGTTAAGTAAAGGCTAAAGATGGTATCTCGATAAAAATCTTGGGTAGATGTAAACTTAATCTTGCTACTATCTTTAAAATAATGTATTTAAAACAAAGACATGTATGCATTTAAGGGCATGCAGAAAATCTATGTTAATCAGCCTTGCATCTCTGCTTCATCTAACAGGCTGGCATCAGTTTAAACCTGTGTTAGATTGTTTTACACACTATTGTGTTACTGCGTTACACTGCTTTAAGTTTTGTTTGTCACAATGGTATATTTATGCAACTCTTTTTATCTCCTAATTAGGGTACTACTCTAAAAATCAGTTTAATAATTTTGAGGCTAGATGGTAAGGTTACATAGCTTAGGAAACCTTATCAGCTACTTGTAGCGGCTTTCATTTTGTCCTTTAAAGAGATGTGTGATTTTCAAAGTAACTACTTGTCCATAGAACCATAACTCTAAAATCTCAAAGAGCTTTTTACGCATCTTTTTTGACCACATTATTAACTTTTTATCATATATAAATTTTTCACTCTATAGTTTGTATTTTTTCACCCTGTAAAGAAAACATCTTAGTTTTGAACTTGTATCACTCATGTTTATTGCATGTTTAAAGAGCGTTTTTCTTTAACAAGTAAAAACAAAAAATTATTAAAATGGTTAAAAGTTTTGGTATAGTTATTCTAAAATTGAATGGCTTTGTTATTCTAAGATTGAATGGAGAATGTCTGACAGCAAAGTGACAGCACTTTCTCTGTATAAATTAATGGTTTCCGTAGTTTCTATTTTCCTTAAAAGTCAACAGAAAAAGTCCATTAAAAGAGATACAGAACCTTCTCCGTAAAATTCACGGTTTCCTTTTTTCATTTTTTCTATACAATTTAACAGAGAAAGTCAGGCAGCAAAGAGACAGCACTTTCTCCATAAAATTTAACTGTCTATTTGCTGAATTAACAGAGAAAAACTCAGTTAATTCAGCAAATAGACAGTTACTTAACACGTCTTACAGAGTTTACACGAAATCAAAAGTAAATGACTAGAATTTATTTGTTGTTATAAAAATCTAATTCAACTATTAAGAAACTACTCATGAAATGATTATAAAATAAAATATAATACACATCAAACACAACATAAAAAAACTTAGTAGTTTTGAGTACTTTAGCTACTTACAAAACATTTAAAGAAAATCTATTTTAAACATTGACCATATGCAAAAAGCAGTAAGTCAAAAAAATAAATTTTTTAAGTTAATTCTATTTCCACAATCTATACATTGAAATCTATTATCAATTTAAATATTAGATCACTTAAAAGTTTTTTTTCCTATAAATAAAAAAAATATATATCAATTTATGTTGATGCACAACTATGAGTAGCTCAGTTTATATTCATTTTCTTAAATTTAATTTACTTGGACTTAATGCATTTTCCAGATGATCTCCTCATATGTTGATAAAATAATTATTATATTAATAATAGTTATAGTAAATATAAACAAAATATAATATATTATAGTAGTTATTATATAAATATATTATATTTTATATATTATATATTTATGATAACAAATAATATTTTATTATGAGAAATTATACTATATTAAAATATTTATTATATATATATATATATATATATATATATATATATATATATATATATATATATATATATATATATATATATATATATATATATATATATATATATATATATATTATATTATCATTTTTCAGGATTCATTTTTGCGATACATCTACATAATAATTAGATCATATTAATAAATAATTGTTTACAGTAAAAAAAGAAAAGCAAGTAATGTTGAAAATTTAAAAAAAATTGTATGCAGAGCAAGCATGTAGTGTGTACAGTTGCAGATAATCAAGATGTGATTTAGATTGATTGAGTGATTTAGAAGAAAGTGTAGGGTAGAAGTAGATAAAGTTAGAATACATTGCAGGTAATATGAAAAGACTATAGATTTTTATAGATTTTTTATAAAAAAGTATGAAAGTATATTATCACAAAAGTATCGGTTTAAAAAAAAAAGTTATATTTTTTCTTAATCTAAAGTACAAATATTTGTTTATGTGTTTGGTAAATTCTGATTTCATATATTTGTATTTGAATTTGTATTTGGCAACCTAGAAACAACATATTTGTATTTGATCAAATGTATTTAACCCTGTTTATGATAGCCCACATTTAAAAGTATACTATTGTAAATCAATCATGTTAAAGCTGACCAAGTTTTTTTGACAGTCAAAAAATTGATAACTTGTGTGTATTAATTTTTTTTTAAATAATTGTAATCTTTATATATAGATATTATATTATTATATGTATTATAATATATATTATATAATAATATGATTTATTTTCTACTATCAGCAAGGATTGTCAATTGAAATATTAGTTAATTATAAGTATATAATTTTAGCTCAAAAAATATTTAAAATCTGTTTAAAAGTAATGCAGTTGTACATAAATGTGGCTGAAACTTTGAGTTTATATGCAATATAAACTTAAAGTATAATTTTAAAAAGTTGTTGTACATGTTTATGTTTAAAAATTTAAGTATTTTATTTTGTTTTTTTAAACAGTAATAAAGGAAAATAGTTTTTTTTTAATCAAATAACTTTTTTGATTATTTTTTGAGTATTTACTTAATAAAAATTACCGGTACAAATTCATTAAAAAAAAAAAAAAACTAAAAAGAATAAAATTATAAACTTAAGAACTTTTTAAAAGAGAGTTCTTATCAAAAACAAAACCATTTTTTATTGTATGTACACTCTGCTGTATCTATATCTATATCAGCTAATGTACAATTTAATACGTCTATGGTCATATCAGGTAATGTATGTAAAAATTATAATTTTTTATAAACTCTGTTTTTGCCTATGGATATATAAGTTGATGTTAAAAACCACTACTGAGCTCATAATAATATCAGTTGTATGCTTATCTAATTTTCCGAAAAAATAATATTTTCTGAATAATGATAAAAGTTCCTTGGTGTATCATTTGCAATATGATTAATTTGAACTCTTAAAAGTATAAATTATTAGCATCAAAGAGGAAATAACGTATTTTGAATTTTCAGTAAATATATCGTTCAATAGCTTTATATTGAAAAATAGTTAAAATGTTTATTAAGTTTTTATAAATAAATTGTAAATTAGTAATATAAATTACTTTCATTTTTTGTTGCTTGTAATTTAATAATTTTTTCATTAATTCTTACAGGTAATTGGGGTGATTGGGTCAATGGAACATGTTCTCAACCCTGTGGTGATGGATTATTGACTCGCACTCGAATGTGTAATGACGGTCTTCAATGTATTGCAGATGGATTGTACATGTCAGTTCAAATACAGAATAGCATCTATTGCAACTTAAAACCCTGTGGTATTTTTTTTTTCTTTTTGTTTTATCTTAAAGAAATCAATTGTGTATAATGGTCATATTTATTGGTAAAAGATATTTCAAAGTTTATGTAAATAAAATTGCATGTACCTAATATCTGATTTTTCAAAATATTACAAAATTAAATATTTATATATCCTTGTGTATATATGAATCCAATAGTAATCAGTTTTGAAATTATATTAAACTCTTTCAAAATGAAAAAGTGATAATATTTTAAAGTATTTACTGTTTACTTTTTTTAATTATTTACTGAAAAGAGTTGTTTTATCATAATTAATTATGTTTCAAAAGAGTTGTTTTATAATTAGTTTTGTTTCAATTTCTAAAATTAGATTGTAATGGTGGATGCATTGGTCAGTTCACAACCTGTGTTAATAACATATGTCAATGTCAAGAAAACTATTCTTTGATTAATGGAATTTGCACTGGTTTGTATATAAATAATTTTGTTTAAGTAGTTTTGAAATAAGAGTATTTTGTTTAAATTTTTTACAATTTTATCTTTAATAACATTAAGATTGTACTTTGACATTTATGCACAGTAGGTATTGTTTTACCTACTTTTTTGTTAATGACTTTCTTGTTGATAACATCGCACATCAAAATAATGAAATCTTTTCCCCACAATTGATGTTTTAATTGAGGTGTTGGATTGATAAATAAAAACTACCATGTATCTTTTTAAACAACTATTTTTTTGAAAAAACCAAAACAATTAGAAAAAAAGTTTCATGCAATATATACGATGAAAAACATTTAATATAAAAATATATGCTATGATCAAAGCTGTAACAGAGTAGTCAAGACACTGGTCAATAGCATGGGCAAGAGTTCTGTTTGAAACCCTATCTTGATAAACTATTCTGTGTATGTATTGGTAATTTTTGAAAAGCTTCAAATCTGCAATTGGTTGCGATGGCAAACAGATTCATAAATATGAATTGCGGAAAGGACCCAAAGAATTTTACCACAATAACCGAGGAGGATAAAATTATTTTTTTAGAATCAATAATTTTGTTGCTAGAAACTCATTATATCTATTTAAAATTTATTTAATTTTGTATATTGATCAAGATTATGTTGGCTATACTTTTAAAAGTATTCTTTTACTTTGCGTTTAAAAATAAAGTTGGTAAATGTGGCCATGTGCTCTATCTATTGTTTTAAAGTCCATTTAAAACAATAGATAGAGCACATGGCCACATTCCCTGGGCACAAAGATTTTATAAGAGCCAAAAGGCAATAAAAAAAAATTATTGAAGCTACCATATATTATAAGGTGTATAGTTTTTATGGTTTTTCTAGTATCTGTACAATGTTAAAATCTCTCCTGAGTCTTGTTGCTGTACAGTAAAAAGTATTAATCCAATCTGTTGGCCTTTGAAATTCTGATCTTTTTATTTTTTTGTAGTTTTTGCTTGTTATTTCGCTGTAATTTAAAAAGGTTTAAAATTATTTTTAATTTAATTAAGTTATAAAAATTTCATGTTAATGGGTTATTATATATAAAGCATAGAGCTATCATATGACAACATAATAAAAAAATTTTCTAGTAAAAAAAGCAAAAAAAGTGGGTTTTAAATAGACTTTCTGTTATTTTAATTTTGCAAGTTTTTGATTTTTTATGATTCCATTTAGGTAATTGGGGTGATTGGGTCAATGGAACATGCTCACAACCCTGTGGTGATGGATATTTGACTCGCACTCGAACCTGTAATAATGGTCTTCAATGCATTGCAGATGGATTGTACAAGTCAGTTCAAATACAGAATAACATCTATTGTAACTTAAAACCCTGTGGTATTTTTTTTTTCTTTATATTTTTTCTTTTTATTTTTGTGTATAGTGGTTGCATTTATTGGTGATTTTTCAAAGTTGACGTTTATCAAATTGTGTGTACTTACTGTCTGATTTTTCAAAATAAAATAGAATATTTATAGCTCTTTCTAATTATTTACAATTAGGTCAAATATAATGCAGTATTTCATACTTTTGTTTAAATTTTTAAATTTAGATTGTAATGGTGGATGCACTGGTCAGTTTACAACCTGTGTCAATAATGTGTGTCAATGTCAAGAAAACTATTCTTTGGTTAATGGAAATTGCACTGGTTTGTATTTTCTTCATTTTTTCAAGCAACTTTAAAGTAAAATTAACTTTTTTCCTCTCTTCCTTATAATTGAAGTATTTTAGTTTGTTTTGGATGTCTATAAAATGTCTATAAAAATAAGTCAGGAATGGAATTGCTAACTTTCTAGGTATTTCCTTCTTGCTGTTAATGATGCACATCAAAGTGACTAATACTTTTTATAACTTTGTAAGGTGGTATAACTACTTAAAGTGTTAAATAATGAATTGAAAACTAATTACCATCTTTTCAGACAACATTTTATTACCAAATATGTTGAAAAGGTTAAAAATTGATTAAGTTTTTTGCAATTTATGCCTAAAAGAATATTTGACATCAAAATTTGCTTTATGTTTCAAACTGTAAGGAAGTATTGTGTGCAGTTCTAGGTATAAACAGGGAATAAAGACACTTGTTAAGAACATAATAAACCTTTCTGCATAATTTTGATAAGTTTTACAAAACTTCAAATAAATCTACAACAAATTTCGCTACAATTAAAAATATGTGGAATGGTTCACTGGAATTATGAAAGGAATTTACCACAATAATCAAGTTGAGTGAAATATTATTCTTAGAACCTAGCAGCATTGTTGTTGCAAAATTCAAGTATACCATTGACAAACAATATTTACCCAAAGAACATATTTCTTGAGATATGCTGTATTAATGCAACGAGTTTTGTCTACATTTTACAACTTTTTAAGCCAATGAGTGAAATGCATAGATGTTGATGACTTTTATTTTATTTTTGATGTTTTATTCAAACATAATCTTAAATTCTTTAAAATCTTTTTAATTCATTTTTTTTTTTCAAAAAAATGAATTAAAAAGTGGAATTTAAATTACGGTGTTGATATGTGTTATATATAGATTTTTAAATATATAGCAATTTTTTTTTAATTTAGTTTTTTGAATAGCAATAAGATTAGATGTATATGCATTCTAAATATAAATTATCATTTAAATTATGATTGATTTTTACTGGTTACGAGTATAAAATGTTTGCATCAAAGAATATATAACACTTTTGTAGAAGTTTTTTAATTTTCAGTGAAGATACATTTCAATTTACTCTTCACTCTTCACTTACTCAATTTAGATTCCACGTTTCAAAATAGTTTTAATTGTTTGTAAAATTTATAGAAATAAATTGCAAATAGTAATGTAAATTACTTTTTACTTTTGTTTTGCTTGATAAATTTTTTGATAAATCTTTTAGGTAATTGGGGTGATTGGGTCAATGGAACATGTTCACAACCCTGTGGTGATGGATTATTAATTCGCAGTCGAACCTGTAATAACGGCCTTCAATGTATTGCAGATGGAATGTACAAGTCAGTTCAAATACAGAGTAACATCTATTGCAACTTGAAGCCATGTGGTATTTATACTTTCTCTCTCTCTCTCTCTCTCTCTCTCTCTCTCTCTATATATATATATATATATATATATATATATATATATATATATATATATATATATATATATATATATATATATATATATATATATATATATGTATATATGTATATACATATGTATACATATATATATACATTCACATTCTATATATAAATATATATATATATATTTTATTTAAATGAAGAAAAACAACATTATAATAGTACCTAAAGTTTCGTGCTTTTCGGCAATCATCAGCTATTAATTACAAATAAAAAATAAAATTGGACTATTATGACAAGAAAAAAATACTTAGGAATAAGAATACTAAAAAAACCAGATGTGATTCGAAAAAGTTCTAGAAAAAGAAGACTATTGGTTTTTGATTTGTAATTAATAGCTGATGATTGCCAAAATACACGAAACTTTAAGTACTAATAAAATGTTGTTTTTCTTCATTTAAATAAAATATATATATATTTATATATAGAATATGAATATATATATATATATATATATATATATATATATATATATATATATATATATATATATATATATATATACAAAATATATATATGTTAAAATAAAAAATATATATGCTAAATAAAAAAGTCAACATTTGAATAAATTCTTGTTATCTTTGTTTAATTTTTAAGATTAAATGATTGCATTAAATTACATCAGAACTCCTTCTACCGTAAAATTTTGATTTGTTTTTTTTTAAACGTTAATTTACATTTTTGATTTGTATTTAATAGCTGATGATTGCCAAAAGGCACGAAACTTTAAGTACTATTAAAATGTTTTTTTTTTCATTTAAATAAAAAATATATGTTTATTGCTCTATTATGAGCACTGTTTTTCGTACAAGGGTTTTGTATTATTTATATAATACATAACCAATCAATATATATATATATATATATATATATATATATATATATATATATATATATATATATATATATATATATATATATATATATATATATATATATTCACATTTGAAAATGAATATTGTTCACTTTAAAAAAAATATTTTAATGTATTGATAGAACTTATTTTATATATATTTATAATTTTTGTTTAAATTTTTAAATTTAGATTGTAATGGTGGATGCACTGGTCAGTTTACAACCTGTGTCAATAATGTATGTCAATGTCAGGGAAACTATTCTTTGATTAATGGAACTTGCACTGGTTTGTAGATATTTTATTGATTATCTGTTCAAGTAATTAAAAAAAAAACTTTTTGTTTAAGTTGTTTTACAATAGATTTATTTTCTTAATAATTTCAGGATTATACTTTATTTTGGTTGTATGCCTACCATTATTAGTTTGGATTGTTTTGCAACTTTCTTGGTTTGCCTCTTGAGTTTTTATTTTAATTACTTTCAGTGTTATATCTTTTCAAAAGCATAGAACTTAGAAAAAGAGTCAAGTTTTTTTTGACTCTTACTTGACCTTGTATATCTGTGTATATTTTAATAATTTTAACAAAACATTAAAATAATCTATAAGATTGGCTACATTCACACTCATATGCATGTGGAATAATACATAGGAATGGTGGAAAGTTCCAAAGAGATTTACTGCAACAATCAGTAACGTTGGTTTTAATTTAAATTCTTTTACATTCCATTTAATAATAAAGTAGATAGATGTGACCTTGTTTATGATGAATGTTCTTTTTTACTACTCTATTGATTCAAAGTGCATTCAGTGTTGAAAAGCTTATGTTTTAGAGCTGTGTATTGTAAAAGCCAGAGTTATGTATAAATGTAATTATGTTTTTCTGCTAAAACTTCAAAAAATTTGGGGTTAGCTAAGGGTGTTAGGGGTGCAAGAAGATGATTATTAAATTATATATATATGTATATATATATATATATATATATATATATATATATATATATATATATATATATATATATATATATATATATATATATATATATATATATATATATATATATATATATATATATATATGTATGCACTAAAAAGTGTATATATATACAGGCCTCGGCGGAAATAAATGAGCACGAGAGCGGAGAAAAGCTCTCCTAAAACGAACTTGGGGAGCTGTGCGAGCTGCTCATCATTTAAATTGACGCTTTTTTTTTATTATTTTTTTTTTTGTAACAACTGTGCTTTTTAAAAAGCATAACAGTATACTATGGAATTTTCTTTTTTTTAAATGACATTTATCATGTATTTTTTATTTTAGTTTCAACAAGATACACATGCAATATCATTATCATGTGTTTATGTATCATGTATCATGTGTTTTTTTTTTTTAGTTTCAACAAGATACACATGCAATATCATTATCATGTGTTTATGTATCATGTATCATGTGTTTTTTATTTTAGTTTCATCGACATGTATCATGTGTTTTTTATTTTAGTTTCAACGATAATTATACTTTTGTGAGAAAAGTTATACTTTTGCGAGAGCCATAAATTGCTCCTGTAAACTGTTTTAGGGGAGTGTGGGCGAGAACGAGTATATACACATGTATATACTCGTTCTCGTAAACTGTATATACACATGTATGTTTTTTTTATAGTGTCTAAGCAGTGTTAAACTCACCTTATTATAAATGGCAACAAAATATTGAATTGATTGGTCTACAATTCTAATTTATTGAAAATTTTTTATGATATTTACACAATATTTTAATTTTAATCAGAAATGCTTAAAATCAATTGCTAATCTGATTTGTATTCATAAAAATAAGATTAAATATGCAAAATTGATGTGGCCAAGGTTACAGCTACAGCCCAAATATAGCTGGACTTTACAACAACACAAGCGTTAATTTTACAGAAGAATCCATTAGTCATTTATGTTCCTTGTGGCATCCATATCCTTAATTTAGTTGGAGTACATAAATCTTGTACTCAAGATTAAGACTTTTTTTTGTAACATTCAAGCTCTTTACATATTCTTTAGCTGCAGTCTGGCTAGATGGAAGATTACTGATTGACAGGAATCTCTCTTCACAAGCTTTCAGATATCAGGTGGTCAACTTGGATTGTTGTTATTCAATTGTACTAGAATGGATCTTGACCTTACCGCTGATATATGGTAAGTTCAAGCAAATGTTCAAAAATTATTCAAAACTGTTGTGCTTCTGACCTTTTACAAAGCCCTCAAAATTGTACAAAGCCCTCAAAATTGTTGATAAAGTAAATTGTTTGTTTCATTCAACTTCACTAACAATTAATGACAAAGTTATTTTCATTCAACTGCAATTTGGCAATTTTGGCTGCATTCATTTATCATGGATCAATATTTTGGCTGAAATGAAACCTGTTGCAGGTTTTTTTGGCTTTGAAACTGAATTTGTGACAAAATGAAAAAAGAGAGCAAAAATGTATATTAAAACTTGCAAATACAGCTTTCTGCTATCGGAGTCTCAAGCAACAATTTGAGGCATATATTTTCAACGTTGTGCTTGATCATTTCATTCAATAAATTCAATCAAGATTTGAAATTGTATATACTTTTTTTCAAGATTCTCACTTATCTTGGTTAAAGATTAAGAAACATTCTCAAAAGAAAAAATGCCAGTGAATTGACATAATTCTATGCTAATCATGTAAAAGAAGAAGACCTTATGGAAATAATTTTGCATCTTAATTGTTTAAATGAGTTTTTTTACTTTTTACTCCTGGAAACTCCTTGATCCTCTTAACCAAATACACTCAAAGATTCTAATGCCTCTTTTACCATCTTTATGCATTCTAATTCAAATTTTGAATTCAATGCCAGTACCTGTTGCAGGGGTAAAGGGTAAACAATCATTCAGTAAAATATTGATCAAGAGCTATTGTAGGGCCACTATCAGTTGGAAATAAATTGGCTGTTTTATGTGATAATATATTAACAAATTTTACAGGTAAAAAAGCAAATATAGAGTGTTTTAAATAGATGATTTTCTGTTATTTTAATTTCCAAAGAATATATTTTATAATCCCATTCAGTTTATATCGTATTAACTAATTGTTATGTTGCATAAATTGTGCTTTTCAAGTTTATGAAAATTTTGTTGTAAAATGATTTTCTCAGATATATTACATTATGATTAAAAACTTAATCATTAATCACTTTAAAAGCGTATGCAATTTTATATCAATCAATTGTATGCAATCGAATTCAATACATATGCTTATAAAGTTTAAGTTCATCAATTGCATATGATTTAAATTCTTTTTAAAATAATGCACGCTTAAAAAGGTTTCTATTCTAGGCTCTGCCCTGGGGCTTATTAAAGCTCTTGGTGACCAAGATAGTAAATAACTTTGTTTTAGATTTTTTCAAATTTTAGTGAAAAATGTTTCAGTAATTTTGTATTGTAAAATAGTTTTGAGTATTTATGTTTATTGAATTTATTTGCATTTTTGTCTTTTAATTGCATTTACTTTATGTTTTTTTATTGATGATTTCATTAGGTAATTGGGGTGATTGGGTTAATGGAACATGCTCACAACCCTGTGGTAATGGATATTTGACTCGCACTCGAACCTGTAATAAGGGCCTTCAATGTATTGCAGATGGATTGTACCAGTCAGTTCAAGTACAGAATAACATCTATTGCTACTTGAAACCCTGTGGTATTTTTGTATTTTCATTTTTTATCTTAAAAAAGTTAATTGCAAATAGTGAACATATTTATTAGTAAAAGATTTTTCAGTATTAATGTCTATCTACTTGTGTTTAATATCTGATTTTTCAAAATCAAATATTTATAGTTCTTTATTATTGTTTACACTTAAAACTAAAATGTCAAACATGCAGTGTTTAATTTTTTTTTTTAAATTTCTAAATTTAGATTGTAATGGTGGATGTACTGATAAATTTACAACCTGTGTCAATAATGTGTGTCAATGTCAGGGAAACTATTCTTTGATTAATGGAAATTGCACTGGTTTGTATTTGGTTTTCTTTGTTGTTTTTTTGTGAAAATTTTTCAAGTAATAGTTACATTTAGTGGCTTTACAATTCTTTTTATAGCTCAAGTTTTTTTTGATTTGTATGCCTACAAAATAAGTTGCAATCAGAGTTGCCAATGCCAACTTTCTAGATATCTTCTTGTTGATAATGAAATCAAAATGACTAATTCCTTTCATAACTTTTAAAGGTGGTTTAAGTACTTAAGGTGTTAGATAAGGAATTGAAAACTAATTATTACATTTTCAGGCAACATTTTATTGACAAACAGTCAAAAAGGTTAAGAATCAATTAAATTTTTAGCAATTTATGCCAAAAAGATTTTTTGACATCAAAATTTGCTTTATGTTTTAAGCTGTAATTTGTGCAATTATAGGTATAAACAGGGAATAATGACACTTGATAATATCATGATAAACCTTTCTGTGTGTAATTTTGATATTTTTCACATTAAAAATTATCAAAATTACACACAGAAAGGTTTATTAAGAATACATTTAAAAATTGTAACTAGATGTGACTAATTTAAATTGGTTTTGGATACATTGGATTGTGAACTGCAAAATGTTAATGATAATCAAAAAGTTCATAGCAGCAGGGTTGTAGGTTCAATACTCAGAGCAAAAAGAACTCGCCTGAAATAGCCCTGGGTTGTTTCTTTCATAATTATTAAAATAGATGAAATATTTTACTAATTGTGAAAGAAACATATAAAATATTCACAATTAGTAAAATAAATGAAATTTATTTGTACACATTTGCATAATAATTTTATATTGGTAAATAGTTATAGGTATTTGTTAAGTTGCTAGCAATAAATTGCAAATTAGTAATATAAGTTATTTTTACTTTTTGTTGCTTGATTAATTTTTTAATGAATTCTTTTAGGTAATTGGGGTGATTGGATTAATGGAACATGTTCACAACCCTGTGGTGATGGATTATTGACTCGCACTCGAATCTGTAATAATGGCCTTCAATGTATTGCAGATGGAATGTACAAATCACGTCAAATACAGAATAACATCTATTGCAACTTAAAACCATGTGGTATTTTTGTCTTTTCTTTATTTAGTTAGCTGTTTAATTGTATATATATATATATATATATATATATATATATATATATATATATATATATATATATATATATATATATATATATATATATATATATATATATATATATATATATATATATATATAATATATATATATATATATATATATATATATATAGATATATAGATATATATATATATATATATATATATATATATATATATATATATATATATATATATATATATATATATATATATATATATATATATATATATATATATATATATATATATATATATATAGATATAGATATATCAGTGATGTACAGTTGACTCGTATTTTAATTTTTAAACAATTAAATTTAAATAGTAAAAACAATCAAAACATAACAAAAGCTTATTTATCATATTTTATCATCTGTTTTTTATTATTAGATTGTAATATTGAGTGCACTGGTCAGTTTACAACCTGTGTCAATAATGTATGTCAGTGTCAGGGAAACTATTCTTCGATTAATGGAACTTGCACTGGTTTGTATATATATACATATATATATATATATATATATATATATATATATATATATATATATATATATATATATATATATATATATATATATATATATATATATATATATTAATATATTATTTGTTCAAGTTATTTTGAAATAAAAATAACTTATTGTTCAAGTTGTTTTACAATAACAATAATTTTCATTTACTCAACAAGATTATTTATTTACTAGTTGAGAAGGAAACTTTGTAATAGCAAAGCTAATCGAGATAAGCTCCCTTTGTACCAAAGTATTACTCATACACTGAGTAGGTGTAGTCGGGATTTGAACTTTGCAAAGTTATTCTAATTACTTAAGGTGTTATAAAAGTTGTAAAGTTTCTGAAGTGGTAGTTATAAATGTGACAGTTATAAAGGTGATATTCTAAGGTGGTAGTTATAAATTTGATAGTTATAAAGGTATGATATTACAAGGTGGTAGTTATAAATGTGATAGTTATAAAGGTAATAGTTATATACCTAATATTTCGAGATTGTAGTTATAAAGGTGATATCCCAAGGTGGGATAAATTGAAAAACTACTCAATGTCTTTCCAAGAAAAATTTTTTTTAAACAAAATACCAAAGGTAAAGGAAAAGAATTTCATGCTATATATATATACCACGAAAAATATTTGACATAAAAATTTGCATTATTTTCAGAGCTATAACAAGACATTGTTTGCAGTTATAGGTATAAATAGGGAAAAAAGACACTTAAGCATGAACTAAGGCAAAGAGTTTTGTTTCATCTATTTTTACCCTAGCTTGATCTTTTTGTGTTTATTTTAAAAAAACTTTAAATTAATTTACAATGAGATTGGCTACATTCACACCCGTATGCATGTGGAATAGTACATAAGAGATTAACTGCAACAATCAATTATGTCGGCTACTTTTATAAAATACTTTAAATTGTGTTCCTTTACATTGCATTTAATAATGAAGTAGATAGATGTGACCATGTTTATGGTGAATGCTTTTTCTTACTACTCAATTGGTTCAAAGTATATTCAGTATTGAAAAGCTCAAAGTACATTCAGTGTTGAAAACCTCAAAGTAGATTCAGTGTTAAAAAGTTTATGTTTTAGAGCTGTGTATTGTAAAAGCCAGAGTTATATACTTTAATAGTCACATAAAAAAGCAATGTATTAATATCATAATGTTTTTCTCTTAAAACTTGATCATATATTGCTTGAAGATTATTTTAATGATTTAGAAACACATTACTACTTTAAGATGGTTGTCATAATGTTTTTCTCCTAAAACTTGAACAATTACTACTTAAAGATTATCTCAGTAATAAAAACTAAAGATTATCTCAGTAATGAAAATTAAAGATTATCTCAGTAATGAAAATAATTCTTATGATTTAAACAAAAAAGTTTTAATGTTTTTTGTGGTCTTTATTCTGAAATTTTATTGCAACTTTTTTTGTGGTCTTTATTCTGAAATTTTATTGCAACTTTTTTAATTGAAAAAGTGTTGAAACTTTATTTGCATATGTTCAAATAAAACTTGTATCAAATTTAAATGAATATTTCAATACTTTTTAAAATTATTAAAAATAAATATTTGAATATTGTTCCCTTAAATTATATTAATTATAATATAATAGTTACTTTTGAAAGTCTACTATATATTTTTTATAATTTTTTATGTTTTGTTGATTTTTAATTATTTAAACTATCTACTTTTACTAATTTTTCTGCAGAACGGATTTGTGTTTTTATGTTTTGGTTAACAATCATATGAATTCATAAGATTTCTAAGACCTATTTTCTGACTTTTTTAGATAACAAATTTTTGTTTAATAACTTTATTTTTTTGTTCCTATTAATACAATCTATATAAATATTATTACTAGCTTTTGTGAAAATATTTTTTTAATTTATATATGAGTTTTGAAACTATTTTATCATTTTCAGTTTGATTAACTTTTATTCCTTATAAATATTAAATACTCACATCAAAAATTAAATAACTGGGTTGCTTTAAATTTTTTCAAGTTTTAGTGAAATATAATTGTGAAATGTAATTTTATGTTAAAAATAGTTTTGAGTATTTTAAGTTTTATAGAAATTAATTACAAAGTTGTCTTTTTGATTGCGTTTTTTTTAATGTTATATTATTCTTATGATGGTTTCATTTAGGTAATTGGGGTGATTGGGTCAATGGAACATGTTCACAACCCTGTGGTGACGGATATTTAACTCGCACTCGATTCTGTAACAACGGCCTTCAATGTATTGCAGATGGATTGTACAAGTCAGTTCAAATACAGGATAACATCTATTGCAACTTGAAACCCTGTGGTATTTTTTTTTATTTATTTTATAAAAGTTAACTTTGTATAATAGACATATTTATTGGTAATAGATACTTCAGAATAGAAATTCATGTATATTGAATTTCATGTAATTAGTATCTACTTTTTTTAAATATTGCAAAATTGTATATTTATAGCTCTTTCTTAATGTTTACACTTAAAACTATGTTATGTCAGTCAAAACATAATGCAGTTTTTCATTTTTTTGTTTAAATTTCTAAATTTAGATTGTAATGGTGGATGTACTGATAAATTTTCAACCTGTGTCAATAATGTGTGTGAATGTCAGGGAAATTATTCTTTGATTAATGGAAATTGCACTGGTTTGTATTTTCATTTATTTCTTCAAGCAATTTTAAAATAAGAAAAACTTTTATTTATCAGGTTCAAAAAGTAATTATCTCTTCATTATAATTGAGGTATTGTAGTTTTATTTGGCTTGTATATTTACAAAATATGCAAGCTAAATAGAAGTTGGAACTAAAGTTGCTAACTTTCTATTTCTATCTTGCTGATTATAATGCTCATCAAAATGATTCTTTTCATAACTTTGGAAGTTCACTTAGATGATGTTAGATGATGAGTTGAAAATGTTAGATGATGAGTTGAAAACTCTTTATTATCTTTCCAAACAATATTTTATTAACATGGCAAAAATGTTGGGAATCAAGTAAAATTCATATATATGTCATAAAGAACATTTGACATCAAAGTTTATGTTATGTTCAATGGTGTAATGGGATTTTTTATACAGTTATAGGAAAAAATAGGAAAAAAAAACAACTTTTCATGAAAAAAAATTATTCTGTATATTTCTAAAATCTCAAAGATTTTTAACTATTTTTACTTTTACTTTTTGTTGATTATTTTTTTCATTCTTTTAGGTAATTGGGGTAATTGGGTCAATGAAACTTGTTCACAACCTTGTGGTGATGGATTTTTGACTCGCAGGCGAACCTGTAATAATGGTCTTCAATGTATTGCAGATGGATTGTACAAGTCAGTTCAAATACAGAGTAACATCTATTGCAACTTGAAACCCTGCGGTATTTTTTTTTTTTCTTTTAGTTTTTATTTTAAAGAAGTTGATTGTGTATAGTTGACACATTTAATAGAGTTAGGTATTTTAAAATTGGTTTTTATTGAGTTTCATTTACTTAACATTTTTCAAATATTACAAAATCAAATATTTATAGTTCTTTGTGTATATATAAATCCAATAGCAATTAAAATGAAAAAATGATAAAATTTTAAAGTATTTCCAATTTACTTTTTTTAGAAAATTTTTTTATTATAAAGAGTTATTTTATCATACCTGTAATTTTGTCTAAATTTATAAAATTAGATTGTATTTTTATTAATATTTAAAAAAAAAATTGTTCTCTTTAAAAAAAGTATTTTAATTTATTAATAGAAGTTATTTTATATATATTTATAATTTTGTTTAAATTTCTAAATTTAGATTGTAATGGTGGATGCACTGGTCAGTTTTCAACCTGTGTCAATAATGTATGTCAATGTCAAGGAAACTATTCTTTGATTAATGGAACTTGCACTGGTTTGTATATATATTTGTATAATATATATTGTATATATTATTGTAATATAACTTAAAACTAAAAATTATAATAAGACTTATTATATTTATTAATAACAAGTATAAGATTTATTGTTCGAGTTGTTTTAAATATTTTGAGTATTTTTTCTTTAAATAATTTTAGGGTTGATTTTGGACTGGTATGCCTTCAGTAATTAGTTAAGATTGTTTTGCCAAAGTTTTTGGTATACCTTTTTTGGTGATACCAACACACATCAAAATAAGAATTCTTTTGCTAACTTTTGAAGTTGTTTTAATTTCTCGAGGTGTTAGGCCATAATATAAAACCACCTAATATCTTTTCAATCTTCTATTTTTATCAAAAAACATGAGTTTTTTAGTGCTGTTTGATCTGGATTGACCCTATCTCCATAAACTTTGTATCTTTTGCTTTAAGTCACAAATTGAGTATATAACAGATTCTTACACTTAAATTACGGAAAGATACTGAAGGATTTTACTCAACAATCAAGCATGGCAAAATGACTTTTTTTAAATCTAAAAACATTGTTGTTCAAGACACAAATTTACAAATTAATGAATATTTTGGTGGATCAAGATTAATTTGGCTATACTTTAAATTGTATTCCTTTACAGGTAGATGATAGAATCAAAAACCTATTCCGGCGTTTGAAATATTGTGTAAATTAATGACCAGAATATAATAATATGAGTGTTTGCCTTAATTTTTAAACACTTTATAACACAAACTGTTTTTTATTGCCTGCTCAAACCAAAACTTTTAGTCAATGTATGTACACACCTTGCATGTTCTACCTATCAAGTCAGTCGATGTATTAACACTCCCTGCATGTTCTACCTATATAGTCAGTCGATGTACGTACACTCCCTGCATGTTTCACCTATTTAAGTCAGTCAATGCATGTACATTTTCTATATGTTCTACTTATTTAAGTCTGTCAATGTATGTACATTTCCTGCATGTTCTACTTATTTAGTCAGTCTATTTAGTTAATTGCACATTTCCTAATTTTTATAATAAATAAAATTTTATAAACAATATAACTTTTTATTAACAACAACCATATACATTACGCATAAAACTAGAACTAAATATTTTAAAATATAACATAAAAGTACACACTAAAAGCATTTGCACTTAATATGAATCAATCCCACATCGCCGGGCGACAAGGCAAAATTATTTGCCACAAGACTACAAAATACATACTAATCATGTAGTAAATTATAGATATATACTTTGTCTTTTATGCTATGCAATTATTCAAACAATGATTTATTATTGGGTCATCAATTTACACAAAACTTTAAATGTGAAAATATGTTTTTGATTCTATCATCTAACTCCTTTACATTCCAGTAAATAGATGTTCTCTTTTGCTACTCTATTGATTTAAAGAACTTTGGTGAAAGCTTAAGTAAAGAACGTTGGTGAAGCTAAAACTTGAAGATTATCTAAGTGATTTTCAAAAATATTGGGTGGAAGAAAACCCATTTCAACTAATGTTAGAATAAAATGAAAGCACATTTTTTTATGCTCTCACTCTTTGTAACCTTGTTGTGTGTGTTCAAACTATTAAAATCTTGGTGTTGTGTGTTCATACCATTAAAACTTTGGTTTTGTGTGTTCATACCATTAAAACCTTGATGTTATGTGTTGGTATCATTAAAACTGGATATTTACACTTTTTTATCAGATCTTTTTTTTGAAATTTTATTGCAACTTTTTTAATTGAAAAAATGTTAAAACTTTGTTTACATATGTTTTAATAAAGTTCATTTTAAAATTAAATTTATAGATTTAAATTTAAATGAATATTTCAATATTTTTTTAAATAATATTATTAAAAAGAAATATTTGACTAATGTTCCATTAAATAATGTAGAGATGAGAATCTTGCCTATTGTTTATACAGAGAAATGAATTTTTTTGTGTGAAATGCATCACTTTTTTTGCAAAAATTTTTCAAAACTTTTAATTCCTAAAGTGTTATGTAAAATACTAGCCTATTGAAAATTTACTCTATACTATTTATAATTTCTAACGTTTTGATAAAATCAAATTATTTAAACAATCTGCTTCTACTAATTTTTCTACAGAATTGATTTCTGTAAGTTTCACATTCTGATTAGCACTTATTTAAATTCAAAAGGTTTCTATTACAGATTTATTGACTTCATTTTAAAAGTAATTTTTTTTTTAGTCACATGGCACTTTTTTCCTGTTATTGATATATTTATATAAATATTACTACTATCCTATCTGCAAATATATTATTAATATTTTAATGTATATATAGGTTCTATAACTGAGTCACTGTTTTTTAAAGAGGTGGATCTGCTCAAAACTTCTTAAGCAATTCATCCTTTATTAATGGAGATTGCACTGGTTTATATATATATATATATATATATATATATATATATATATATATATATATATATATATATATATATATACATATATATATATGTATATATGTATGTATGTATATATATATATATATATATATATATATATATATATATATATATATATATATATATATATATATATGTATATATATATATATATATATATATATATATGTATATATATATATATATATATATATATATATATATATATATATATATATATATATATATATATATATATATATATATATGTATATATGTATATATATATATATATATATATATATATATATATATATATATATTTCCTAGTAATTTTGAAATAAATATAACCTTTTGTTTACATTGTTTTACAATATCGATTTCTATTTTTAAAAATTTCAGGGCTTTACTCTAATTTGAACTTGCACTGAACTTGTTTAGATTTGGTTGAGATTTTGGTTAACTTTTTTGGTGTATCTTTTTTTGTTGATAACAAGTACACAAAAGTATATATAAATATTTTTTTCTACTATGGAAGTTGTTTTCCAAAACTAAGTTTGATCTTTATTGATCTATTGTGAAAACTTTTATATGTATCTTTTGATAACTTTTGTTTCAAGTTACAAATTGAGTAGCTTCAAATCTACAATTAGCCACAATGACTAACAGATTGATACATGCAAATTGAGGAAAAATCGTAAAGGATTTTACTACAACAATCAAATAGAGTTCAATGATTATTTTCAAATCAAACAATAATGTTGTTGCAAGATGCTTGTGATATGTCCTCCAATAAAGGCAAAATTTTGTAAATTAGAGAATAATTTGGTTGATCAAGATTAATTTGGCTATACTTTAAATTGTATTCCTATACGGTGCATTTATTAATTAAGTAGTTAGATTAGACCATATTCACTCTTACTACTCCATTGATTCAAAATCCATTCAGTTTTGAAAGCTCAAGTTTTCGAGCTGTGTATTGTAAAAGACAGAGTATTTTCATGAAAGTACTCTGGCTTTTAGTACTCTGTCACCCAGATAAAAAAAAGTAATTTTTAAATGACATAATGCTTTTCCGCTAAAACGTGAAGATTATCTCAGTGATTTTTAATGATATTTGCTGAAAGAAAAACCATTTCTTTCATTTTATGTCAGCATAAAATGAAAGCATATTTTTGTATGTTTTCCCTCTCTGACACATTGGTGTTGTGTGTTGGTACTATTAAAACCCATCTGTATCAGTATATACATCTTTTAGTTAATCTTGTCTTTTTGTTAATCTTGTCTTTTTGTTAATCTTGTCTTATTGTTAATCCCATCATTTGTTAAGTTTAAAGAAGTTAATTGCAAAGTAGCCTTTTTTAGTTGCATTTCTTTTTATGTTGTTTAAATATATTTTTGATGGTTTCATTTAGGTAATTGGGGTGATTGGGTCAATGGAACATGTTCACAACCCTGTGGTGATGGGTATTTAACTCGCACTCGATCCTGTAAAAACGACCTTCAGTGTATTGCAGATGGGTTGTACAAGTCAGTTCAAATACAGGATAACATCTATTGCAACTTAAAACCCTGCGGTATTTTTGTTTTTTCTTTATGTTTTGTTTAATTGAAGTTAATTGTATGTAATTGACACATTTATTGGTAATAGATATTTCAAAGTTGATGTGTATCAAATTGATTGTAATTGTCTAATTTTTTAAAATTTTATAAAGTCGAATATTTACAGCTCTTTTTTATTGTTTACATTTAAAACTGAGTTATGTCAGTCAAACATAATGCAGTATTTCATTTTTTTTGTTTAAATTTCTAAATGTAGATTGTCATGGTGGATGTACTGATAAATTTTCAACCTGTGTCAATAACGTTTGTCAATGTCAGGGAAACTATTCTTTAATTAATGGAAACTGCACTGGTTTGTATTTTTATTTATTTTTTTAAATTTCTTCAAGCAATTTTAAAATAAGAATAACTTTTTTTAAATGGGTTTACAAAGCAGTTATTTTTTTGTGATATGGGAAATTTTTTAATTAGGTTTGTATGTCTACAAAAATATGTTGAGATTAGAGTTGCTAACTTTCTTAGTATGTCTTTCTTGCAGGTAATCATGCACATCAAAATGTTGATTCTTTTCATAAATTTGAAAACTAGTTTTTAAACTTTTCTAAACAAAATTTTATTGATAGCATTTTAAAAAAGGAATCATGAAAGTTTTATGCAAATACCTAATAAAAAATATTTCGCATCAAAATTTGCATTGCATTCAAAACTGTAATTGGATTTTGTTTACAGTTATAGATATTAATATGGCTACAAGAGCATGGATAATGGCAACAAGTTGTTTTATCTATCTTCTGCCTAATAAACTTTTCCGGATTTATATTCGGATGCATTTATTTAAAATTAAATAATTTAAACTTTATTCAAATTTTATTACTCATTACAAAAATAAATGTTTAAAAAATTTTAATGTTGTTTAAAAGAAATTTTTCAATAATGTTTTGTTAAATTGAGAGGTAAGATTACTTTTATATGATTACAGGGTTGTTAACACATAGTATGTCTGGCAGATCTTTTGACATATTTTCTGCTGACATAAAATATGTCCCAAATATTTTCTATTGATGTTTTTTGACATAATTTTATTTGACATTATTTTCTGAATTATTTTCTGCTGACATAAAATGTGTCTATCAATATAAATTGAAATAATTTTTGTCAATATATACATTGATGTCAAAAATATTTTCTGATGGCATAAAATACTTCCATTTTCTGTAAATATGTTTTTACATAATTTTATGTCTGAATTATTTGCTATTTTATTTTCTTGAAGAACAAATCAAACTAATTTATTAACATATTTTTATTTTAATCATCAAATTACTCTGAAATGTGTTACTAAATTGTTAGTTTGATATTTATTTCATTTTATGTCTGAAGCAATTATCAAAATATGTCATACAAATTTTATGTCAGCAGAAAATAATTCAGACATAAAGTTATGTCAAAATACGTCTATAGAAAATATGTGGGATATTTTATGTCAACAGGAAATATGTCTTAGACATATTTGACAAACAACAACCCTGTTATAATTCATGCAAAAAAACAAAAGCTCGTAGTTTCTAAAAACAAAAGCTTGCAGTTACTAAAAACAAAAGCTTGCAGTTACTAAAAACAAAAGCTCGCAGTTTCTAAAAGCAAAAGCTCGCAGTTAGTAAAAACCAAAGCTCGTCGTTTCTAAAAACAAAAGCTTGCAGTTACTAAAAACAAAAGCTCACAGTTTCTAAAAATAAAAACTCACAGTTACTTAAAACAAAAGCTTGCAGTTACTAAAAACAAAAGCTTACAACTACTAAAATTTTTTCAAAATTTAAAAGTACTGTATTAACTATTCTACTTTTGGGATGGGATGATAGTATCACTAAAGGATCATGGGATGATAGTATCACCAAAGAATCATGGGACGATAGTACAATATCTCCAAAGAATCAAAAATGTAAAAAAACAAACCAGAATTTTACATCAAAGTAAAATTAATCCATTAAAAGTTTTTTATTATTTTCAAGTTAAATTTTTTTATATATATAATCAATAGATTATACAAATAGCCTACACAAGATATAAAATAACCTACACAAGATAAATATAAGTAATAATAAATAGATATTTGTATATATGTATATATATATATATATATATATATGTATATATATATATATATATATATATATATATATATATATATATATATATATATATACATATATATATATATATGTATATATATGTATATATATGTATATATATATATATATATATATATATATATATATATATATATATATATATATATATATATATATATATATATATATATATATATAATATAATAAATAGAAATACTAATTTTTTAAATGAATAAATTTTTTACTAATTAATCTTCACAATCGTTTGCTGTTCAAATCAACAAAAGACGCTTGAAGGGTTTTTTGTAATTTGGGTGAGTCACTACTCTTTTGAACTGTTGCCAGTAAGAGATAAAAATGTGAATAGAATAGCTTATTCACTGTATATTTTAAGTAGGTTTTTTGTAAGATCAATAAATTGGTTAAGGTGGTAGATGTGGTACAGTGTAAACCTTTGGTGTGACAGTAAACTTTTGTGTGACAGTAAACCTTTGGCGTGACAGTAAGCTTTAATGTGACAGTAAACTTTGGTGTGACAGTAGAATTAGATCTACTTATGATTTTTTTTTATGTTTTCATTTTCTCAGCAAAGTCATCATTTAATGTCATTCCAAAACATGCTAAACCATCTGATTTGAACTTTTGGTTGGTGTCTTTAAAAATAAAAATCTAAAATGTAGAGTATTCAACCATGTGGTGAAGAAGATGGATATTGTTGGTATTGTTGAGGTGTATTCAACCATGTGGTGAAGAAGATGGATATTGTTGAGCATTTTGTGGTAACAATTTCCAATTAATTATTTCCACAATATAGTTTTTGTTTAATGTGGAGTGCTCTGGGCAATTGTTTGATTTCTGGTCAAACATCTTTTCAAGCTTTCAAATGAAATGAAATGGTTAATCAAAAAGAATATTAAGTTTCATTGCTAGGATCAGTTCTAACATACTTGGTGGCCCACAAATAATTTTCTTAAGAGTTTTGTAATTATCTAGAAGATTCTCTGATACTGCAACCAGGAACTGGTGCTTCACATAACGTTTGAGTGATGAACATGCTTTTGAGTGATGAATTAACATATTGGTTTTTGAATTTTTTATTATGCCAAGGTAGGCTTGTTGTTAAATTACATGTTTTTAGTTTGAATCAGGGAATTGACCAAGAAAGTTTGACCAAGGCTCCTTGTTTTCAAAGGTAACTTAAGAATACATAACATTAAAAATCAAGACCCATGGCCCATCTTTCCTCCTGCAATGACCTCTCTGGTACCAATACCTAAAGTTTTATCTGGTAGAGGTATTTTTAAAAACATAGTTTGTTCTATAAATTTTGTACAGAAAAAATGAAAAGTTTTGTTATGCTATAATTATAAAGGAAAAAATTGATTTTTTTTTTTAATATGACATAAAAGTCTAATTTGATTTTTCACATTTTTTGATTCTAGGGATATAGTACTTTTATCCCATATAGGTATATATTGGTATTATTGAGGAGTATTTTATGGTTCTGTACCTTATTGGAACAAACAATAAAGTTTTGATCAATTCTTAGTAACTGCGAGTTTTTGCGTAAAATGCACTTCCAATTTTTGAAAGAATTGTTTTAAAGCTTGTTACTCCTAAAGAATTATGTAAAGTACTATTATATTGTGACTTCCTGTTTATTTTAGTTTTACATCTAGTTTAAATTTATACCAATTATAAAAATTATTCTCTAATAAGTAAATTATCTCTATATTATTTTTCAAAAGTAATTGTTTTTTTTTAGTTGCTTGACATTTTCTCTTGTTATTGGTACATTTATAAAAAAAATTATTACTTTTCTTTTATATGAGTTCAGGCTATATAATGCTTTAACTATTTTATTGTTTAAAGACTGTTTTAAATATTTAACTTAGGCATCAAAGAGTAAATAACTTTATAGTTTTAGATTTTTTCAAGTTTTTGTGGAAGATTTTTCAGCAATTTTTTAAATTTCAGTACAGTAGTTTAAAGTATTTATAAAGTTTATAGAAATTGTCTTGTTTAAATGGATTTTTTTATGTTGTTTTATAATTCATTTGATGAT